CCAGAGATGAAAGGTTAACATCTCAAAATCCATTAATGTAATAAAGGATATCAATAGAGTAAAAAGCCAGAATGGCAAGATCATTTCATTGACTCAGGGAAAATAACTGACAAAATCCAATACCCTTTCATGATTAAAACAGTCAGCTACTACAAACAGAAGAAAATTTCCTTACTTCATAATGAGCATCTATGGAAAACTCACAGCTAATATTATATTTAATGGTGAAAGACGGGTATGTTTTTGCGTGAAGATAAGGAACCAAAGAAAGATGTCTGATCTTTTTTTTTCTGAGGAAGATTAGCCCTGAGGTAACATCTGCCACTAATCCTCCTCTTTTTGCTGAGGAAGACTGGCTCTGAGCTAACATCCGTGCCCATCTTCCTCTACTTTATATGTGGGACGCCTACCACAGCATGGCTTGTCAAGCAGTGCATAGGTCCACAGCCAGGATCCAAACCAGCGAACCCCAGGCCCCCAAAGCAGAACGTGCGGACTTAACCACTGTGCCACCAGCTTGGCCCAAAAAGATGTCTGATCTTGCCACTTCTATTCTAGAATGTACTGGATATTTTAGCCAAAACCATTAGGCAAGAAAAGGGAATAAAATACAAGCAGATTAGATAGGAAGATGTAAAACTCTAATTCTGGATGAGGTATCTTGTGTAGAAGTTCAGAATATGGTACTCCCAAGATATGGCACATTGGCCTATGGATTATTTTGAATTAAAGGCTGAGAAACAGCCATCACAAGAAGGACACTCTGACCCTCCTTTGTCCCCCTTGAAAGCAAGAGATGAGTCTCTCATGTAAAGGTACCCTCTTTGAACCAGGAGGGGAGAAGGCAACCTTATCATCAGAGACAGGGAATTTAGGGCTGAGGTTATATAAACAAACCTTGTTATTTGCATTTACTACAACCAGCTTAAACTCCTCCGCCTTAATTCTTACCAAATATATTGTTCCTTTATCTAAAAGGTATAAAAGCTTCCTGCTCTGGTCACTTCTTTGAGTCTCATTTTTCTGAGTCTCCCATAGGTAGGAAATTAAATCTGTCTTTTCCTGTTAATATGTCTTACATCAATTTAATTTTTAGACTAGTCAAAAAACCTAGCAGGGGAAGAAGCTACATTTTTCCATCCTTACATTTGCTTATAGAGAACTCTAATCAATCCACAAAAAAAGACTATTAGAATTTCTAATTGTGTTCTGCAATGTTGTAGGATACAAGATCAAAATATAAAAAAAGCATTTCTAACTTGCAATGAACAATGTAAAAATTAAGAAACAAATGCATTTACAGTAGCATCAAAAGAATAAGATACTTAGGAATAAATTTAACAAGAAAAGTACAAAACAAATACTATGAAAAGTATAATCATCATTGACAGAAACAAAAAAAGGTATCAGTAAGTTGGAAAACATCCAAATTTCATAGATCAGAAGACTTAACATTGTTGAAATAGCATTGCTTCCCAAAATGATCAGGAGTCAACACAATGCTTATCATATTCCCAGTGATTTTTTATAGAAATTGTCAAGTTGGTGTATAAATTTATATAGAATTCAGGGAGTCAGACTAGTCAAACCATACTTGAAAATAACAAATTGGCTGGACTAAGATTTCAAAAGTTTATACTAAGCAATGGTCCTTGAGATAGTGTGGTGCTGACACAAGAATAGACCTACAGATCAATGGAAAAGATGGAGATTTGAGAAATAAAACCACACATCCATGGTGCTGCCACCAGGAGGAAAGCAGGGAGGGAGTGGCAGCCCTCCTCGGGGGCACCATAGATCTCCAAGGTCCCTTACAGCCTGGGGGAAAGCAGCCCCCCGAAGTGACTAGCTATCATTGGGGTGTCTTCATCAAGCAAACACCCCAGGAGAGCAGATAGCAACGGCAGAGCAAGAAGGCCCTGAGATCATGCAGGAGAAAGCAAGCTCCCCTCCCCCTCCCCGGGAACCCCAGGCCAGCACCTGGGAGTTGGCCCTGCAGATCACAGCAGGCTCAGAACACACAGCTCTTGACCCCCACCCAGTGGTGACAGGCGGAAGCGTGAATCAATGGCCAATAGACATATGAAAAGATGTTCAATATTATTAATCATCAGGGAAATGTAAATCAAAGTTACACTAAGATATCATTTTGCACCCATTAAATTGGTTATAATCACTAAGACAAAAAATAAATGTTGGAGAAGTTGTGGAGAAAAAGGAACCCTCATACACTGCTGGTGGGGATGCAAACTGGTGCAACCACTATGGAAAACAGTACGGAGATTCCTCAAAAAACTAAAAAAATAGAAATACGATACGACCCAGCTATTCCACTGCTGGGGATCTACCCAATGAACTTGAAATCAACAATTCAAAGCAACTTATACACCCCTATGTTCATTGCAGCATTATTCACAATAGCCAAGATGTGGAAGCAACTCAAGCGCCCAGTGACTAATGATTGGATAAAGAAGATGTGAGAGAGATATATATACACACAATGGAATACTACTTAGCCATAACAAAGACAAAATCGTCCCATTCACAACCACATGGATGGAGCTGGAGGATATTAGGTTAAGTGAAATAAGCCAGACAGAGAAAGACAAACACATGATTTCCGTCATGTGTGGAAGATAAACGAAGACATGGACAAAGAGAATACTTCAGTGGTTACTGGAGGAAGGGGGCTGGGGGTGGGCACAGGGTGTGAAGGGGAGCACTGATATGGTGATGGACATGTAATAATGTACAACTGAGATTTCACAATGTTGTAAACTATTATGAACTCAATAAAAAAAAAATCAAGAGACTTGTCATGAGCAACAGTGTTCTGCACAGCCATTTGTACTGCCACCAGCTCAGCAAGGTGAGCCAACCCTGACTTGCCATCTTTGCTAAGCGTGGCAGCGCTGGCGGGATGGTACACTACTGCTCTCCATGGGGCTCCCCCATGTACAGTGGTGGCATTGCTCTCTGTGAAGTAAAGAGACTCCCGTTGTCATTCCATCAGCTCTTCCCAGGGGCTACCCGAGGTCATCAGTCTTGGGAAATCGGTGCTGTCACCAGTTCCTCAATGTCCACGGGCAGGGGACTAACAGGGGAAGTCACAACCTCCTATAATTTAGAAAGACCTGCCATGTCAGGTTTAGCCAATTCCTGAAGGTACCATTTCCATTTTAGCAAAGAGGCACTTGTGCCCATGCCGAGCCACTGTTGGGAGGCACCCCTATCCGTGATGTGACAGGAATGTGGGCATGCAGGAGACCAGGCTCCTGTCCTGTGAAGGCCTGTTTCTAACAAAGCCCAATGAGTGGCCAGAATTTGATGTTCCAATGGGGTATAGCAGGCAGCTGGGGGAGGCAGCCCTCTGTTCTAGAAGCCCATAGGCAACCAGGAGGAGGCATGTTTAGTCCAAGGGTCCAGGATTCAGCCCATGGTGGCCAGGGCCTCAACCCAAAGGAGTAGCCAGGACACAGGGAGAGAGCTTGATGAACTGACCTTTGCACCAGCTGTAAGTCTTGCTGTTGAGATTCTCCCTAATGAAATGTAGAGGATTTGCGTGTGAGTGCGTGAATGGGTCTGAGAATGATGGCTAAGTGCAGTATGCATTGCCTCCAAAATGTGAAGAGATCCAAGATGTGTTGGGATTCTCACAGCTTGATGGGAAGCTGAATAGTTAACAATTGATGTTTAATTGGAAGCAATTATCTGTGGCCTAAATCAATAGGAAGTCTGAAGTCCCAGGCAACAATGACATCCTCACTCACTCCTACCCTCACAGAACAGATATACACACACCTCAGCCTCCCATTACCTTACATTGTTTTTTTACTTTTCTTCAAAGCCCTTAGTTCCGTATTACAAACCAAAGCTTTACCATTTGTTAATCATCACTCTTTTTCCACAAACACATAAGCACCATGATTGTAAGAACATTTGTTTCATGCCACTATATCCATATCCTACTGTGCCTTATTTGTGCAAAATTAGGTATGTTGTGACCCTATAGTGCATGGCATATGAGAGATGCTGAAATATTCGCATCAGGAGCACAGTCTCTGAGAAAGAGGCTTGACAGGCATAGTGGTCCTGTCTCTCTCCCTTGCTAGGTTTGTATTGTCTCACAATTTACCTAAACTCAGAAGCTTTAGTTGAGTCATAAAGGAGATATTAAAATATTATGTAGTATACTAAAGAAGTGAATTTATATAACTTAACTGAGGTACTTTATGGTAAAAGTGTCTAACACACCTTAGGAAATAGATCAGTGATTAGATAATAAGTAAGAAAGGCAAAAGCTGTTCCAGAGGGCCAGGAGCTGGCCTGCATTCACTGCAAGGCCAAGTCTTATCCTGCTGAAGAGAGAAATGTCACACCTCCTTCATCAAAGGTAAATGGTAACCATAATGACCAAGACATTTATAAGAGAACTTCGTAACTCTATCTCTAAAAATGGAAAAAGATAAAATTCCAAATAGTAAAAATGACCAATACTCCCCCCTTCTTACTAATATGACTGAAGCTTCCTTGAAATTGTTTAGCTCCATTAAATTCTTATTGCCTTCTAGAAAAAAATGATTATGATTACCAATGATAGAACAAAATTTACCTCCTTACAGCAGTCAGTACAGAAAAATGTCTTGCTTTCTTGAATAGCAATCAAATCATCCAACACAAATCAAAACCTTCTAAGAATTCCTTTTGGGCACCCTGTTACATTTCTGCCTCACCGTCCTTCAGCATTTATGGTCATTCTTACTAGAATTTATTACACCTCTTTTTTGACAACAGGTGCAATCCTGTGGGTCACTGGAAAAGGACATTGAGAAAACTGATTTTTGTTTTTGGTATTGAGAATATCTGAGAATAGTTTCATGAGAAAAAGAACTGTAAAAGAATAAAAAACAAAATTTGCCTGAGGGAAAAATACCTGAAGTTGTGTGTACATGATAATACTGACTCATAATGTACAATGATTAAATAAAGGAAACTGCAAGTTTATCTGAAAATCCATTAATTTTAATGGAATATTTTAATATATCCTCTGAGAAAATAAAAAACAATAATATTTGTTAGCATATGAGGGATTACAAGATAGTTGATAAAATATTTCCATAAAACTACAGAAATACTAGTCTCACAAAAAATTCATATCCTTTAAACACAAACACAATCAAAAATATTTTTGAAGAATCACGTTCATCTACAAGTAACAGTTAAGAGTCTTCCTGACAGGAAGAAGGTGCTGCTTCTCACACGGAAGAACCAGGTCAAGGCAGCCGCTGCAGAATGCAGCAGAGAAACAAACTCCCATGTCCTTCTTTTTGAATACACCACTGTGGATGTCACGGTGAATCAGGAAAACATCCTGGCTAACAGCAGTAACAGCAGAAGTTGTTTCCTATACACACTAGACCTTACATGGATATAATCTAGAAAAGATGGGAACCAGAGAATACTCCCAGTCACGCAAGTTTGAATTAGTTTCCTGGTGGACACAAGAGGCCTTACAGAAAAACCCAAACTCTGATGGATTGTTGAGGTGGAACTTGTGAAGACATCAGCGGAAACCGACACCTCAAATAAACTGGAAATCAAACAGTTGGTGGTGGTTTTGAGGATACTCTTGACTGGAAGGGCAAAGAATCCAGGAAATTGGCTGGAAGATGGTGTCCTGGAAGCTCCTATGTATCTGCCTCTCTCCCTGGATGGTGGCTCCAAAATGTCACTAATGTCTTCTCTTCTGCCTTCCAAATCTCATGCAAGTGAGGCTACTGGTGAATTCTAACTGGGAAGTATAAAACGGATGGATTCTGGAAGATGTGCTTCCTAACATTACTCACAGGAAGGATATCTCCAACTCTAGCTTTTTTGTCCTATCACAAGTCTCTCTTATTAATCAAAATCTATTCACAAAATATCAGTCAGAAGGACAATGAGTGAATGCCTAAATGTGAACATAATAATTCAAATGGAACCATACTCTTTGATAACCATACAATACATAAAAATTTATTCCATTTAATAGTATGAAAAATAGAAAAAAGATCCTATATCCTCCATCACAAAACAGCTTTTTCGGGGGGGTGGGGAATGAGCACAATATATATCATTTGGTAGGGATGTCCAGGAATTGCCAAACAAGGCCATGAAGAAAATCCCAACAAATACCAAACTGTCATTTTTCAATGGCCCCTTAACATGGAAAAAATAAAACATTATAAAAAGAATAAACCTAACTGCATAGGAGAAATACATGTCAGTTCATGCTTGGATCCAAGAGGCTTCAAAAAAAGTAAAGAGAAAATATTATTAACAGAGTTAAGGAAAAATCACTACCTATTAATCTTATGATCTTATGTACTACAGTAGAAAAATGACATAGAATTCTCTCACCTCAATATTCATTTCTGAAAGTAATTAGTAGAAATCCTCAGTCCAGTCATGTATCTTAGGAAAAAAGCTTAGTAAACACAATGTATTTACAGTATAACACAACACACTTAGTAAGCACAATATCACAACTCTTTCATATTGAAAAGTTTCTGGAGCATTATGCATGTATTAATTCCCATTAAGCTTTCTCATGTTATTTACATTTATTTCTTTTTGGTGGGAGTTGTCACATTTTAGGAAGTGGGCCAATTGAAGTCCTTCCCATGCTGTTCACCTTCAAGAGGTTTTCTCTAGTGAGTTCTTTCATGCTTTTGGAAAGTACCGGGATCACAGAAGGCCTGCCCACATTCTACACATTTATATGGTTTCTCTCCAGTGTGCATTCTCATGTGTCTTTGAAAGTTTGTGTGACAAATGAAGGCTTTCCTGCATTCCTTACATTCATAGGGTTTCTCTCCAGTGTGATTTCTTACATGTACTTGGAAGGAACTGTAATAACTGAAGGCTTTACCACATTGCTTACACTCATAGAGTTTCTCTCCTATGTGACTCCTTTCATGTCTTTGAAAATTGTGATGATATCTAAAGGCTTTTCCACATTGTTTACATTGATAAGGTTTCTCCATAGTGTGAGTTTTTTCATGTATTCTAAGTGAAGTTGCGACACTAAAGGCTTTCCCACATTCTTTACACTCATAGGGTTTCTCTCCTGTGTGAGTTCTTCTGTGTATTTGGAAGGAAGTGATATAACTGAAGGCTTTACCACATTCTTTACATTCATAGGGTTTCTCTCCAGTGTGGATCCTTCGATGTATTTGAAATGCACTGGGAGAAATGAATGCTTTCTCACATTCCTTACATTTATAAGGTCCATCTCCAGTGTGAGAGATCATGTGCCCTCGAAGGCTTGAGAGAGCAGTAAAGGCTTTCCAACATTCCTTACATTTATAAGGTTTCTCTCCAGTATGAGTTCTTTCATGGACTTGAAGAGAACTGGGAAAACTGAATGCTTTATTGCATTTTTTACATTCATAGGGTTTCTCTCCAGTGTGATCTCTTTCATGTTTTTGAAGAGAACTGAGACAACTGAATGCTTTACTACATTTTTTACATTTATACTGTTTCTCTCCATTGTGATTTCTTTCATGTATTTGGAAACCTAGATGAGAAATGAAAGCTTTACCACATTGCTTACATTCATAGGGTTTCTCTCCTGTGTGAGTCCTTTCGTGCATCTGTAAGGAAGTATAATATCTGTAGGCTCTCCCACATTCCTTACATTCATAGGGTTTCTTCCCGGTATGAGTTTTTTCATGTCTTTGAAGAGAACTGGGACAACTGAACGCTTTACTGCATTTTGCACATTCATACGGTTTCTCTCCAGTGTGGGTTCTTTCATGTACTTGAAGTGAACTAGAACAATTGAAGGGTTTCTCACATTCTTTACATTTATAAGGAGCATCTCCAGTGTGCATTCTCATGTGTCTTCGTAGGGTTTTGAGCCACATAAAGGCTTTCCCACATTCCTGACACTGATAGGTTTCCTCTCCATTGTGATTTCTTTCATGTTTTTCAAAAACGTGGAAATAAACAAAGGCTTTCCCACATATCTTACATTTATATGGCTTCTCTCCATATTTTTGATAGGCAGATGGTTTGTGTTCATTGTGATACCTTATGTGCCTATTAAGGGATGAATGATGTGTGAAGACTTTTCCACATGCCCTGCATTCATGTGGTTTCACACCAGTAGTTTTCTTCTTCAGATTGAGATTTGGAATAAGGCTGACATTTTCTCCACATTGACTACCCTCTTCACTTTCACAGAGTGTTTTTACCATATGACTTCTGTAAAAAACAAAAATCACATTATTAGTGATTTCACAATTTATTATGATTTATTGTGTAGGTTTTTCTGCCTTATCTGAATTGTTTGAAATTCAACATACCGAATGCACTACAGGAAGACTTTACTTTGTGATTATTTAAACAGTGAAATGCATATAATAATATAGGGTTATTAATACTATTTGCAAGTAAACTTTTTTTTTTAAAAGATTGGCACCTGAGCTAATATCTGGTGCCAATTTTTTTTTTTTAATTCTTCTTCTCCCCAAAGCCCCCAGTACATAGTTGTTTATTCTAGTTGTGAGTACCTCTAGTTGTGCCATATGGAACACCACCTCAGCATGCCCTGACAAGCAGTGCCATGTCCAAACCCAGGATCCAAACCAGTGAAATCCTGGGCCGCTGAAGCAGAGCAGGCAAACTTAACTACTCGACCACGGGGCCGGCCCCTCCAAGTAAACTCTTTTGCAAACACTAAACAACTATGTCACATTTCATAAAGGATTTTTAGTGAAAAATTTCTAGGAATAACTAAACTTGAAGCAGGGGTTATTTTGTTCGCTTGTTTAAAAAACTTTATAACACACCAGGATTCTCACCTGAGACACTGCTTTCTATAGCAAGTGTGGCTCACCTTAGTTTTCTCCCCTGGTTTCTGCACTGATCTTGGGTGTCATGATCTCTCCATTTCTTTCCTAAAATGCAGACCAAGAAAAATGATTCCAAATATTAGAAATTATAAAAAAACTGATTCTAGGTCCATGATGAGCTGTGACCATGCCCAGCTTATTTACCAACATCCCCCCTTTCCACATTCCAAATATTGGAGCAACATCGATGGGCAAGAAACACTTGTTCTCTCGTTGACTAAATGAAGGAATGTCCTCATCCTTACCAATTGAGGCCAGATTCCTGAAGGTTTCCTGCATCACATCTCTGTAGAGTTTCTTCTGTAAATGATCCAGTAAAGCCCACTCCTCCAGGGTGAAGGTCACAGACACATCCTCAATGGCCACTGAGTCCTAAAACATCCCAAATATGTGTACAGTAAGGTGCATGAGACTGACAGCACGAGACATCCATATGCCCACTGTAGGAAGGTTATGTATGATTCTAAACATTTATTTATGTATTTATGTATGATCTCCAAACATTTATTCTATGACTTGATCATCAGAAACTTCCTCTGTACAAACTTCCTCATCAATTTAACAGCATCATAAACACATAGAAATTACTTACACACTTTTACTGTGATCATGTTACATCTTATTTCTCTCTAATGGCAGGGTACAGAGCATGTTGGGAAACGACAGAAATGCTATACAAATGATACAAATATCATTTTAAGACTGTTGATTCCTTATGAGAAAAGTTCCTTCATCTTATTACCCACCAGTTAGAGCACTCCAGGAAGCAGAGGGTGAAATCTGCATGAGCTTTCAATGAGTAAAATCATAGTGAAGAACTGGAAGCTATTTTGTCTCATCCCATCACCAAGCATGAGAGTCCAGGAGGCCTGTAAAAATCAAACTTTTAACAAAGCCAGCTGGTCACATTGTCCTAAAGTACTCCAGGCCATTACAAATAATGAGATGCAGCTGGCTGAAGGTAAATAGTCTTGTGGGGGAAGCACTGCTTTTAACGTGTGTAATATTTATCAGACTCACTTCTCCCTTTCTCCATCCAATTTGATGGAGCTCAAAAGTTACTTGGAACTTAGAGTTCAGACATGAGGAAGAAGGCATGACAACTTACACCAGAAAATCCCTCACTTCTGTGCCTCAGGGCTGCTTCCAGCCAATTTCAGAACAGATAGTGAGATAACAGTGTGCCAGAAGAGCTCTTTTTGGTCAATCCCAGAGTATCCTGGGCCTTGTTGCCCTTGAGGGGTAGACTGACAGGTGCAGGTTGCAAGAGTGTTCACTGAAGTCCAAAATAGTTTGAAGTTGAATTTGCCCATGATTATAAAATATGTAAAGGATTCAACAGTGCTTCCTTCCAATAGAACATAAAATCTCTATTTTTCCCAAAGAGACACTCTAGATGATGCCCTGCAACTTCTTGCCTGGCATTGAGGGAATTTAGAAGCCGTCATTCTCTATCTCACAAGAGGAAAATGAACAAAGGTGAAATGAACAACTCTTCTTAGAGTCATGAGAGCACTGAAGTGACAGGGCAAACAGTGTCTCCAAAATTGGGAAAGAGAAGAGAAAGATGGCACTTTGAAATATGCAACAAGTGGCCTGTTCCTAACAAGGCCTGTACTCAAAAAAATCTATTTCATTGGAGTCTAATGCAAAGACAAAAAAGAACAAAAGAGACAGAAACCAGTATCCATGAACCTGTTAGAACAACCTTTTTTAACAAAGGTTTACAATATACCTTATGGAAATATCTAAAGGAAAAGAAAGCAACAGAAAAATAATAACCACCAATTTCGTAAGATTAATCATAGATGGCAAAGTCTAGATCCAGAAAGCTCAGAGAACACTAAGTATAAAGACACCAAAAATGCACCCCAAGTATATCATATACACAATAGACAAAAATCAAAACAAAGAAAATATACTGAAAGAAGCCAGAGGGGAAAACACACTTTATATATAGAAAAACAAAGATTCCAATTAAACTGGACTTCGTTTTAGAAACCCTGCAATCAAGAACGGAGTGGAGGGGGCCGTCCCTGTGGCTGAGTGGTTACGTCTGCATGCACATGCCACAACTAGAAGGACGCACAACTAAAAATACACAACTATGTACCAGGGGACTTTGGGGAGAAAAAGGAAAAATAAAATCTTTAAAAAATGAAAAAAAAAGAACAGAGTGGAGGGAAATATTTAATGTTTTGAAATTGAAAAAAATCACTCTCCTAGAATTCTGTGTCAAGCAAAATTATCCTTCAAAAATAAAGGAGAAATAAGGACTTTCTGAGACAAAAATTGAAGGAATTTGTCATTAGTACACCTACTTTGAATAAAACCGTGTAAAATTCAGAAAGAATGTAAATAATGAGGGGAATATTAGAAATAGAATAAATAAGTGTAATTATATTTTTTATATCTTAACATAATTTATATAACAGATTGCAACTTGTTTAAAATATTATTAGCAACAATGCATTTGGTAATGAGAAACTTATATAGACAAGTGAAATAAATTACAACAATGTGGCAAGGCACAGGGAGGGGGAAATTGGGAAGTGTGTGTTAAGAGGTACTTGCACACAGTGAAGTGGCACAGTGTCACTTGACAAAGGAGGTGGGTTAGTTGTAAACGTATGCTGAAAACTCAAGAGCAACCACTAAAAGAGTGTCATAAGAAACGTCTAATTGATATGTTAAGAGAGGAGGAAAAAGGATAAAATGCTCAACTAAAGACAGAGAAGGCAGAAAAATGTGGAAGACAAAAAGAAACAAAGAACAAGGCTAAAAATGGAAGCCTTCAAAGGTTTCATAAATATTAATCCAACTGTATCAATAGCTACTTTAACCATGAATGGTCTCAATACAACTGAGGGATAAGAGTAGTATCAGATTTTTAAAATCACATTTAATTATATGTTGTCTACAAGAAAGTCACTTTAAATATAAAGCCAAAGATAGATAAAAGGTGAAGGGTTGAGGAAAATGTACCACATGAACACAAATCAAAAGAAAGCCACAGGTATATGAATTATCAACAATACAGATTTCAAACCAAGGAAAACCCAGATATAAAGAGGGACATTACATAATGAGAAAGGGGTGCATTCTGCAAGAAGGCACAGCCATTCTCCATTTGTACCTTGTAACAAAAGAGGGGTAAAATTCATAAGGCAAGAGCTGACAGAATGCAAGAAGAAATAGATGAATCCACTACTATAGCTGTAGACTTCAACATCCCAGAACCATAAATTCCAGTAGGCAAAAAAAAGTCAGGAAGGACAGAGTTGACTGAACAGCACTGTACAGCCACTGGATTTCATTGTAATCTATGGAATACTTCATGCAACAGAAGTAAAATATACATTCTTCTCACATTCTTATGGAACATTCACCAAGAAAAATGACATTCTGGGACATAAAACACACCTTAACAAATGTGAAAGAACAGAAGTCACACAAAACATGCTCTTAGACCACACAGACATTAATTCATAAATCAACAACAGCAAGATAGTTGGAAAAGGCCCAAACATGTGGAAATTCAACAACACACTTCTGAATAATACATGGGATCAAAGAAGTTGTCTCAAAAAACTTAAAAACTATTTTGAACTGAAGGAAATTTAAAAACCAATGTATCAAAGAATGAGGGATGCAGCAAAAGCAGTACTTACAGGAAAATTTATGCCATTGAACAAATATACTGGGAAAAAAGAAAGATCTATACTCAATAAGGTAAGCATCTACCTTAGAAAACATTAAGAAGAGCAAATTAAACCCAAAGTAAGCACAATAAAAGAAATAATAAAAATTGGAAGATAAAGTAATGCATTTGTAAGAAATTAATGGAGAATTTTTTTAAAAAGCTGTTTCTTTGACAAGACTAATAAAACTGATAAACATCTAATCAAGATAACTAAGAAAAGAGGAAAGACAAAAATTACTAATATCAGAAACGAAAGGAAGGGTAGTGAAAACAAAAATGATTTGAACAAATCCAACTTCCATTTATGATAATAAACTAGTAAAAGAGAACTTCCACTTCTTGAGAAAGACCAGCTTCACAAAACCCGTAGCTAAATTCATAAGGTTTGTTCCATATGACATGATTGGTTCTGTGAAACATCTGAAAGAATTCACAACAGAAATAACTCCTGGAATTAATAAGAAAGTATAGCAAAGTTGAAGGGTATAGAAGTCCACTACTTTCCTATGGACCTACACAAATATACTCAACTGATCTTTGACAAAGGAGGAAAGGTAATTCAAATGAAAAAGAAAGTCTTTTAAACAAATAGTGTTGGAAATAATGGATATTCACATACGAACGAACACACACACACACAGACAAAATGAATGCAGACACAAGCCTTACATATTTCACAAAAATTAACAAACACATCATAGATCTAAATATGAAATACAAAAGGAATAAATTCCTTCAAGAAAAATAGGAGAAAATCTAGATGACCTCGGGTTTGGTGATAAATTTTTGGATACAACCCCAAAGCAAGGTTTGTAAAAGTTTTTCCTTTTATGATAATTTCATTTCATTCAGATGAAAAAACTGCTCTGAGAAAGACGGTATTAAGAGAATGAAAAGACAAGTCACAGAATAGGAGAAAATCTTTGTAAAACCTGTGTCTGATAAATGATTGGCATCCAAAATATCCAAAGAACTCTTAAGACTCCACAGTAATAAGAGAAACAGTCCATTGAAAAATGGGCGAAAGATCTGAACAGACAGTTCACCAAAGAAGATAGAAAGCTGGGAATCAGGCAATATGAAAACAGGCTCCACATCAAATGTCACTGGAAATTTGCAAATAAAACAACGGTGGGGTATCATTGAACACTTATTAAATGGGTAAAACTCGAAACACTCAGAACACCACATATTGGAGAAGATGTGAAGCTAATCTCATTCACTGCTGGTGGGAATGGAATTTGATAACCCTAGAACAGAAGACAGGGACTTACTTTTCAAAGCAATATATAGTGTTAGTATGTATACTGAGAGCCGGCAATCATACTCCTTGGTATTTTTCCAATTGAGTTGAAGCCTTTTGTTCACAGAAAACCTGTACATGGAAATTTGTTGGCACTTTAATCATAATTGGCAAGAGGCAGAGTTAAACAAGTTGTCCTTCAAGATTCAAACAGATAATTGGTGGTGTATCCATATGATGAAATACTATTCAGTGATAAAAAGAAATGAGGAATCAAGCCATGCAAACACATGGAGGAACCTAAAGCTTATATGGCTAAGTGAAAGAAGCCAATCTCACAAGGCTACACACTGTGTGATCACAAGTATACGACATTCTGGAAAAGACAAAAGCAGAAGCCAGTAAGAAGAGCTTTGGTTTCGAAGG